CTAAATAGTTGCCAAGTTGTTGCTAGGCCATTACGCACATTGTCCATTTTATCAGCTCCACTGACCATATAGTTTCACTCTGTAGTTCTACAGTTACAGACTGTAGTCCATCTGTTTCTCTGCATACTTTGTTAGCCTGTTCTTCAGTGGTCAGGACCCCCATGGACACAGAGCAGGTATTATTTGAGTGGTGAGTCATTCTCAGCACTGCAGTAACACTGACGTGGTGGTGGTGTGTTAGTGTGTGTTGTGCTGGTCTCGGACTTTACATCTACAAGGTGGACCTACAAGGTAGGAGAGTCTAATAGAGTGGACAGTGAGTGGACACTAACCAGCTGAAAATGCCCATTTCCACTATCAGTGCAATAATTAAGGAGCTCAAAACAACTAAAGATGTTAAGAATATTAATTAGGTCTTTGGGGTCAGAATGTCTCCCAAACTACAATCAGACACCACCTGTATAACCACAGTTTGGTTGAGTTAATTGCCAGAAAAAAAGCCTCTGCTGCCTACAGTTTGCCAGACGTTACTGGAAGTTTCAGTGGGACCGTGTTCTGTGCTCATCAGGGAGATAATGATCACCCATTGCCTGGGGAGATGGCCTTTTGTAGCTGGTCAAGTCTTTAAAGCTTTCCCATAGAGCTGATAGTTTGTCAGCTGATGGCATGCTACTCAGCTTGCAGGAGTAAATCTTTTCCACTGCTTTTATCATTTTATCTATTGCCTGATTGTACAAAGTTCTGTCTCCACTTTTAAACCACATCTTTACATCTTTGGACTGACAATTGTTGAACCAGGTTTGTCATTGTCTATAATTCCAGTCATGGTGGATGCATGCTCAAACACACTCTAAACACACTAGGGGGCAGTCGTGGGCTGGAGATTAGGGAACCAGCCTTGTGACTGGAATTTAACCGGTTCGATCCCCTGAGCCGTACCCAGTACGTGACTGAAGTGTCCTTGAGCAAGGCACCTAACCCCCAAGTGCTCCCTGGGTGCCATAGATAGGGCTGTCCACCACTCCAGGCAGGTGTGCTCACTGCCCCCTAGTGTTCATTTCCTAGTGTGGGACTAATAAGGGTGCCTTAACTAACAATCAGTTTCTTCTAGACGGTCATGTGGCTTGTGTTTTGCCTAATTTGTCTACTTTTTCACAGTACTGACAACAGGTTTAGTAGATTTTAGCTTCTGTCTGAAGGTTGGGAGGAGATGAACTAGACAGTGATCAGAGAGGACCAAGATGTGCTGGAAACAGAAGCATATGCAAACTTTAAAACAGTGTTAGCAGTGATCTAATGTGTTATATTCCTTCTGGGGCAGGTAACCTTATCTGTATTTCATCAGTTTTTGTTATTTTGGCCTTCTGCCTGTGAGCCTACAAATTGAATTCACAGAGCAGAAGATTCACTGAATATCAGGCACACTATGGCAATAAACAGCTTTCTTGATTTCACAAACTCAACCAGCTTTTCAGACATTTTAGTCAGCAGATGTAGACAGAGGCACAGATGAGGGAAATGTGCTGGCGCAGATTAAACTCCAGTAAGGTTTACGCACACCACTGTTCAGAAGCCTCCTGGTGAATCTTTGCTCATTCTGTAATAAAATGGACAAGGCCTTACTGCTAAACAGACTTCCTTTTTCCTTTTTTTTTATTTCACTGATCACCAACCGACCAGACTGTTTGTCCCTATTTATTTGTTTGTCATGATTGAATTTGACTTGTTTCCCACACTTTTTTTCTCCTCCAGAAACGAATGACATTACAAGTCTTCTCCTGCTTCTAGTGTCCACATTCCTACACAGTTCAAATTTACTTCCACAAAGAAATGGAAGCTACCAAGAGGAATACGTTACACTTGTGAGAGTGTGGGGTAAATGGTGTCTAGAAGCTCTAGGACTCAGAAAACTCAGCTCACAGACAAGCACAAAAGAACATGGGCAAACATCACTGCTCAGATTGTGGGAAAAGCTTTACTAAGAACAGTAGTCTCCAAAAACATCAGCTCGTTCACACAGGAGAGAAACCGTATACCTGCTCAGAGTGTGGGAAGAGTTTCGGTCAAAAGAATGTTCTCCAGCAACACCAGCTCGTTCACACGGGGGAGAAACCGTATACCTGCTCAGAGTGTGGACAGAGCTTTAAGCAAAAGGGTTATCTCCAAATACATCAGCGCATTCACACAGGAGAGAAACCGTTTCAGTGCTCACAGTGTGAAGAGAGCTTTATTAGAAAGAGTAGCCTCCAAGCACACCAACACGTTCACACAGGAGTGAAGCCGTATCAGTGCTCAGAGTGTGGAAAGAGTTTTACTAGACTGAGTTCTCTCCAAGTACACCAACGCATTCACACAGGAGAGAAACCGTATCACTGCCCAGACTGTGATCAGAGCTTTACTGTATATTGTCATCTGAAGCAACACCAGCGCATTCACACAGGAGAAAAACCGTATCAGTGCTCAGAGTGTGGGAAGAGTTTTAGAGGAAGTGGTGCGTTCAAAATACACCAGCGCATTCACACAGGAGAAAAACCGTATAAGTGCTCAAAATGTGGGAAGGGTTTTAAAGAGAACAGTGCCCTCAAATTACACCAGCGCATTCACACTGGAGAGAAACCGTATCACTGCTCAGAGTGTGGACAGAATTTCAAGGTACTGAGTCATCTCCAAGAACACCAGCACATTCACACCGGAGAAAAACCGTATTCCTGCTCAACCTGTGGGATGAGTTTTAGAAAACGCAGTGCCGTCAAAATACACCAGCGCATTCACACAGGAGAGAAACCGTATCAGTGCTCAACATGTGGGAAGTGTTTTAGAGGAAACGGTGCTCTCAAAATCCACCAGCGCATTCACACAGGAGAGAAACCATATAAATGCTCAGAGTGTGGACAGAGTTTTACTGATGGGAACACTCTCAAAACCCACCAGCGCATTCACACTGGAGTGCGACCGTATTACTGCTCAGAGTGTGGACAGAGTTTTACTCAACAGACTCAACTCAAACAACACCAGCGCGTTCACACAGGAGAGAAACCGTATCCCTGTAAAGAGTGTGGAAAGAGTTTTAGACAAAGTGGTGCTCTCAAAATACACCAACGCATTCACACAGGAGAGAAACCGTATCAGTGCTCAGACTGTGGAAAGAGTTTTACTGTTCTGTGTAATCTCCAAGAACACCAGCGCATTCACACAGGAGAGAAACTGTATCCCTGCTCAGAATGTGGGACAAGTTTTAGAAGAAGCAGTGCTCTCAAAATACACCAGCGCATTCACACAGGAGAGAAACCGTACCACTGCTCAGAATGTGGAAAGAGTTTCATTACCAGCGGTCATCTCCAAGCCCACCAGCGCGTTCACACAGGAGAAAAACCGTATCACTGCTCAGACTGTGAGAAGAGTTTTCCTGATGGACGCACTCTGAAAATCCACCAACGCATTCACACAGGAGTGAAACCGTATTACTGCTCAGAGTGTGGGAAGACTTTTACTCAACAGAGTCAACTCACACAACACGAGCGCGTTCACACAGGAGAAAAACCGTATCACTGCTCAGACTGTGGGAAGAGTTTTCGTCAGCACAGTGCTCTCCAACAACACCGGTATGTTCACACAGGAGAGAAACCATTTCCCTGTTTGGAGTGTACAAAACGTTTTATCTCAAGACGTGATCTCCAACGACACCAGCAAATCCACACAGGAGAGAAACCGTTTTCCTGCTCAGAGTGTGGACAAAGCTACTCAGACAAATGTTATCTCCAAAAACACCAGTGCGTTCACACCTGAGTGAAGCCGTATTCATGCCTAGAGTGCAGGAGAACCTTCAGGCACTCAAATTTAAAGACACACAGTTTCATTATGAGTGAGCCCAATGATAATATCCTGAACAACATCTTCCACACACTTTGGTTATATGGGTTCAGGTTAGGATATTGTATTCCAGTGGTGTAGTCCAGGGGTCACTAATCTTGTCCACAGTGGGCAGAGATGGCTGCAGGTTTTCAACCCTTATTGTCGGAACAATGTTTTTTGGAGCCCTGCTCCCATGAGGTACCTTTCTTAACTAACATTATTGGCATGTGATTAAGTGTTGCCAATTAAATACGTTGAGCTTTAAAAGCTAGGAATTCAAGTCTTACATTTTTTTCTGTCACAAAGTATTACATCTAGCATTGGCACATTTCCCTCTATTTCACAGCACCCACTAATGTGTTCCTGTAGAATGGCGAAATGGACACGAGGGAGTTGTAACATCATTTCACAGCAGCCGCATAACTGCAGACATTTTTTGTTTATCGGCCTTGTGAGCGTAGGCATCGGCCAGTTATCTCAAAATGACATTTAATCAGCTGAGTAATTGGTTGACCACTGATGCACACCATACCGTAGAGTCAGCATTTCTTAATGGTTAGCAGTACAGAGCATGTTCAACCAGCTCAGCTACGTTTATAGAACATTGGGCCTCATTCATCAGTATCCTCTTAAGTGTGTTCTTAAATGTGTGCTTGAGAAAGGTCCTAAGAAAAAGGTCTACGTCAGATTCATGACATGTTCTTAAACCGCAGAAGTGTTCTCACCTTTGAGTGTGTGTAGATTCTGTTCTTACCTAAGAACAAATCCCACCTAAGAAAACACTGGTGAATGTTAGAGTCTTCGTGAAAACTGCTTAAGTACATTTTAAGAAGAAATTTCTTCTTAAGAACAGTTGCTGAGTGAGGCCCAATCTTGTCTACGTTAAATGTACAATTAATGTGGTACTAATGTAGAACATCACCTAACGTTTAAAAGTTCAATTAGGTTCAAGTGTGTTAATACTGGTGTCTTGCTATGGTGAGCATGAAAGATATCAATAAATGAGCAGCTTTTTTTCTTTATTAATCACTCAAAGATTTTATTATCAGTGTTGTCTGATACTGCAGTTAACCATCACCAGATGCAGGTGCACACACACACATTTTCTAAGCCGCTAATTCTGTTTTGGTCGCCTATCCCAGCAGTCATTGGGCGGAAGGCAGGAAACACCCTGGACAGGTTGCCGGTCCATCACAGGTCAGACAGACAGACATACACAGTCACACACACATTCACATCTAGGGGCAATTTAGCATGTCCAATTGGTCTGACTGCATGTCTTTGGACTGTGGGAGGAAACCGGAGCACCCGGAGGAAACTCCACACAGAAAGGACCCTGGTCACCCGGCCAGAAATTGAACCCAGGCTCTTCTTGCTGCGAGGCATCAGCGCTACCCACAGAACCTTGTAATACAGTTCATTAAGTGCATTCAAACATGTGTTCAGAGTGAAAATTCTTCAAATGTTTTAAGGGGTGAGAGAATATAATCTCATAACAGATCTCAGAACTATTCTGTTGGACTGGAATGTGGTGGTTGGCACTGTCATTTTTAGTCTTCACTTTACACTTTTTCATAACTTCAGTAACTTCATTGCCTCTGCATGAGGTGGTGGACTGGTTTAGCAAATTCAGTCTGTTACCACCCTAATAGGTCTATAATCCCACCCATATGTAGCCCATGTTCCCTCACAGTCTCCAGATGCATACTCTTGTTATGAGAGCTGCCCAGATCAAATTCAAATTCACATCAATCCTTTTTTATTTTTTAACACATTTTTATTATTTGCTTATTATTTTTACTTATTATATTTTCTGTTTATATTCTTTTATTGTCTTTTGTTTTTATTCATCTGTTTCATTTTGTGATCAAAGGTGTGATGGTTGAAAATGCAAAGTTTTTTCATTTTTTATATGCTTACTTCATTCCATGGCCATGGCATTCATCTAATGTTTTTTTTTTTTTTCCCTGAATCAATTAAACCCTAAGTTTGTTAACAAATCTCTCGAGCATGTGTATCCTGCCTCTGAGTATTCATTACCCCACTTTCATCATGGAATCACAGAATTATTTATGTCTTTTTTTAACAGGTTTTTCCCTAGCCTTATTTTCATTGTTTTAGGTATTATAAACTGTTCCTTAGAGACAGGCTTTCTTCTGGATGCGCTCAAGATTGCAGTCTAGATTCATGAGTTTTAAGCAATTTTAGAACAATTTCAAAGAGAGCATTTTAAAGTAAAATACTAGAAAAAAAAGTGTCTTTGCACAAATAGATGACTTTAAATGAAAATTATGTTTTTGAAATATTCCAGTCATGTGTCAGATCAGAGTACTGAAACAGCATTACTAAAGACAGTTAACAATTTCAGAGGTAACGCTGATGAAAGTGGGATTTCTGTCTTTTAGATGCAAGTGCAGTGTTTGCTATGGTAAACCATGAAATTCTAACAAATCGCCTTGAAAATTGGGTAGGCTTTGCTGAACCTGTCTTAAAGGAGTGATGTCTTAAAGGTTGAAAGTATGTTGTTAGTCTAGCTGGGCATCACTCCAAAGAATATAACATACTTTATGGTGTTCCACAGGGTTCTGGATTAGGCCCTCTTGTTTTTTTCTTTGTACATGCTTCCATTAGGTAACATTATCAAAAAGCATGGAGTCAGTTATCACAACTATGTCAATGATACACAATTATATATTTCTGTATATTTCTGTAAATTATTTAAACTAAGAACTTGTGCGTCCTGTATAATTAACTGGATGAATAGTAGCTTTTAAAAATTGAATGAAGATAAAACAGAAATTCTCATAACTGGAAATGAGGCAGAGAGAACAAAAGTTTTGAATCAGTTAGGAAGTTGTCCACAAACAAAAGATGAAATCAGAAATACTGGCATAATTTTATCCTCCACCTGAATGAAATATAACACAACTTAGATCTTTTCTCAAACTGTAAGAGAGAACATAAGCATCTGTTTTAGCTTCATTACACTGGCTGCCCATCTTATTTAAGATTATTTTACTGGTTTATGAATCTCTTAATGGATTAGCACCTACATACATCTCTGAATGGCTGACAGAATATGTTCCAAATCATGCTTTAAGATAACTGGGTGCTGCTTTATTGAATGTTCACAGGATGAAGCGCAGAAAAACGGTGAAGCCGGTTCTGTTTTTACACACCACAAAATCTTTATGTATTAACATTAATCAGACATCATCAGTAACCAGGTTTAAACAGCAACTGAAAACATTTTTATTCAGCTTAGCACTCTGTTAGGTTCCTGTTTATATTTCAGATCTTATTTTATTCATTCTAGTGATATTTTAATCACATTGTGTTTGTTTTATTCTGCTTCTTTATATATTTCATATTTAATGATTCATATTTCTTATTACCACTTTTGCTAATCAAGCTTTTCTTTCAGTTGTTTTGATTTTGCTTCTTACTGTTCTACATTCATGATTTTGATGGTTTATTTGATTTCATTATGAGGCAACTTGAGCTGCATTTTCCTGTATAAAATGTGCTAAATAAATACAGTTACTATTAATTTGATATCTGTGTGTTTACTGATTCAAGTTAAATAAAATACTTTTATTTTACCTTTTAATTTAAATACTTGGGGCTCAGGTTAATGACAGATTTTTAATAAATATTATCTTAAATCAGTGATCAAATAGATTAGGTATCGTAATCAATATCCAAATAGGTAGTTTTGACTAACAGAGAATATTAATCCTCTCACAAAGGGTTGGCCTTAGTCTGTCTACATAGGGGATTCTAGACACCGGAAAGGCCCTGGATTTACAGAGAGGCCTGTGTGTACCTGCTGACCTAGTAAAAGAGAAAGGTAAGTTGACCTTCAAAGGTGAAGCAAGCTGGTAAAAACCTGTTGAAACCAGGTTTTAGGGTGAGCTCATCATGCATCATGCAAATGAATGGCCTTGAGAAGATGTAACAGCCTGGTACAACCAGGCTAGAGTGTTTTTTTTTTTTTTTAAATGACATCATGTACGTTTGGTTCTAAGAGCTTCCAAGAAAAGTGCAGAGTTTGGATACAACAGGGACCAAGATGATATGGAATTGTGTAAAAGGTATTTATTGCCCCAAACAGGATATAAAAAAGGATGTTTTGTGATGATCTTTGCATTGTGGTTGTCTTTGCATTGTGGTTGTCTATAAAGACATACCTTTATATGTCTAGACCCTGAGCAGAAGAGACAGCTCTTGGTCCTGACATTAATTTGTGAGTTGTATTTTAACAGTGGTGTTAATGATACTCGTAGACTATCATTAACCCCTCTGGGAATACAGTACCTACAGCAGAAACCCCTCGGTTAGCTAGCATCTTCAGGTTCCTCTGTGTCTGATGTCCCCTGGCTCCTCGTGATGCTGGTTCTCCTGAAGAAGTGGTTCTCAAACATAGGCGCACCCAGTGCTGTTGGGAGAACGTCCGATATTCTAAGATTAATCTTCATGTTATTTCATTTCATTAGTCAGCCACACAGTTACTCGTGTACTTCTCCAATACAAACGACACAGGCAGCTCTGCTCATGGTCCGGGGTCGTCAGCTGGTGGCCCACCGTCTGGATGCAAGTCCAGCAAAGTATCACAGAGTGCAGTGCAGATGTGATAAAAACCAAACTATTGATTGTATTCATGTTTTAGATAGAAAATAGTATCTATCTATCAAAAGGTTTTCTTATACAGCCTTTTATTTATTAGGTGTTAAACAGCTAGTAGTGGCTATAAGTTAACAGTGTCCTGCTGCTCTCATGTCTTTACTGTAGGCGTGAGAGCAGCACTGTAATACTAACACTGCATACTGTAATCAGTCTGTGTTAACAGAACTAACTGCCCGTGTTTCTCTCCTGAGCTCAGCTGCCCATCCTGTGTGGTCTAATGCTGTTGCTTCATCTGCCTTGATCGGGTGCCCACTGCTCGCCTGTTTCCCAGACCAGTCTGACCACCATGGAGCTTCCTCCTGTACAACACTGTGCAAACCTCACCTGCATGAACTGACCCTCCTGAGGATGCTGCTGTGTTTTTTAATCATAGACTTTACTTCTCCTGCTTTTCCTTTCTTTCCGTATCTTATATTGTGGGTCAAACCTCATTCTCTGCTGTTATTGTTTACTATCCAGTGCAGTCCAGAGGAGGATGGGTTCTCCTTTTGAGTCTTGGTTCCTCTCAAGGTTTCTTCCTTTTGCTCTTAGGGAGTTTTCCTTGCCACTGGCGACACTCATGGGGTCTCGGACCTGGATTTTTCTGTAAAGCTGCTTTGTGACAACACCTGTCGTAAAAAGCGCTACATGAATAAACTTTGACTTGACTTGAACAGTACTTGTTAGCTACATTAGCCTTGTAGCTCCAGCACAAGACTACAGAAGTAAACTTTGGATGTCTGAAGTAAAACTAACGTTTAGTAAAGTTTGCACTTGAGCTGCGAGGCTAATGTAGCTAGTCATGTAAATACGAGGCAATGTGCCCAGTATGGGAACCACTGGAGTATTTAAAGAATAATTGTGAGGCAACGTGCGTAAATGTAAGGCTAACGAAAGGCTAGCTAGCTAAGCTAGTTGTTTTCTCTTTTCCACCACAGATACTTGTAAACTAATAGACAGACAAAGCTCAGGCTGCTCGATTAGCTTTAGCTAGTTCAGCCAGCAGGCAGTATCTTTGTAATCTTTACATATTGTGATTAATTTAATTTGTAAATGATGAATTTAATCTGTTTTAGCGCATTTAGGTAGGATAATGCTGCTATTATCTTTAACATGCTGCAGTAAAATCACTGTTTCGTTGATGCATCAGGCAGCGTCTTCATAGCATTTAGCTTAGCTTCTTAAGTGAGGTGGACGTCTGGTTCCTATCACCACCACTGTGAACAGTTCTGACTCTGGAGTGGAGTATTTCACACCAAACCACTCGGAATGACTCTGTGTACATCTTACCCGTTTAGTTCTGCAGAAATGTGGGGAAAAGCTCAGTGTAATTTCCCTCAAAGTGCCCCTTTGTACTAATACGGTGATTTTAAATCTTCTGTTTACCGCTGCTGGTTGCTAATAGTGATGTGTCGTTGTCGAAGGAGTCGGCTCATTGCCTCGGCTCTCTTAAGCGACCGTTGGGCGCCGACTTGCATTGAACAGCCGCTTTTATTTACTTATTATTTATTTAGTTAGTTTTTATGGTAATTCGAGACAAAATCATGTGTCCGCCCACTTGTTATCCCAAACACAGGCTGCTTGTTTTGCTAGGTTTTGTTTTTGGATGTTTTTAATGTAGTATTTCCCGTGATTGAGTCCCAGATTAAATCTATTTAATGCGGTCTAACTCAGTTCGTCTCACTCATTAGAAACCAGACTAAAGTTTCACTGAAAAATAAACGAAAGAGAAAACAACGCTACTGAATGAAGAGCCGTTTGGGAGCCGAAAGAGTCGACTCTTAGTGGTGAGTCCGAGTGCCCATTGTTCGCGAAGGAATCGGTTAATTGAGTCGGCTCTTTGAAGTGACCGTTGGGAGCCGAATTGTATTAAGGAGCCGTTTTTGTTTATTTGTTATATATTTTTTATCGTTTTAATTCTAAAATGTGACAGTAAAAATGTTCTATCTTCTCTCTATCATCAAAACTGGTTTTGATCTTGGCTTTTTTTGTATGTGGTTCACTTCATTTGCGTGCCTGCCCCGCAAAGTGAATCTGCACATCAACATTTAGCTTACTAGATGTATTTGTTTTAAAAAACAAGCATAGCACTATTATTTTACTGATAAGAAAGCAGATTAAAGTTTTATTGAAAAACTAGAAGAAGAGCCGTTTGTGAGCCGAAAGAGTCGACTCTTATTGGTGAACTGAGTCGCTTGATCTGACTTACTGAAAAGAGACAGAATGCCACCAGTGGTTGCGACGGTAACACGAGCGATTTATCAACTGGCCAATCAGAGAGGGCGCTCATCGAACTTCTGGCCAAACGCAGTGCAGAAGGCGGTGTTTGTGTGAAAACGGGTGGGATTAAAAATCCCGTCCGAAGTGAGTCCCCACTGCAGTCCAGGCGGGGGTGCCTCTTTTATAACTGTGCTTCTCCAGTTCTGCTCTCCAGTAAAGAGCAGAAGGAGGCCTGCAGTCCTCAGAGAGACACCCAGGAGCTGCTCTGCTGAAGGTAAACAGCTGTTTAACTCTGTGTTTTTACAGAAACGGGGGATAAATGTTCTCAGAACGGTGTGAAACAGGTGGAGTGTGTGAGCTGAACCCTCCACACTGAGCTGAGGAGGCTGATGGAGCTCTCTCAGCTCTGTGACTCTGGGTGGTTATAATGTCTTTTCTGCTTGGGTTGGAGAAACTCAGAGGTGGGCAGTAGTTAGTCACACCTACTAAGTCACATCTGAGAAGCACTTTGCTGGACCTGTTCTTTACTGAGTGTTTTATGAGTGAAGCCTTTACCTCTGTTGAAGTGTATTAGTGAGTAAAGTAGCCCGGTTTCTCCTCCTGATTCTTCTTTCGTGGGTTTAATCTCACTCTGTTGTGCTGTTTCAGCTCCTGAATTGCTTTATGGTTCATCACTGTAGTTTTTAGAGAATTATTTTAGACCCAAATGATCCAAAATAGAAGAATAGAGTCGTAGCAGTTACCAGATTATTGAGGAATAATCTAGACATGGTCGTGCTCTTGTGAGGAGAAAGCTGGGATTATTAAAAAGCAGATTAACAGAGATGTTAACAGGTCATCATTTTCTTCTTTCTTCCTCCATAAAGCAGGAGTTCACACAGATAACAGGGAGTTATCCCCCTCAGCTGGCCCAAACTGCCCCCCCAACCACCACCACCGGTGATACAGAAGCATAGTCCAGAACAATCTAATATTACCTTAGAGAGGACCAGGCCCTCAGAGACAATACAACCACTCTGATAAATATGATATAAAATCTTTAAAATTAACCACTTTCCAACAGTCCGTCCACCTGGAATGAAAGATACTGATCAAAAGAGCATGTAATACTGATTAATCCCTTAAAATCTCAGGCTTATTGCATACTAAGGCTTATTATTCAGTAACTACAGGGACATAAACTGGCTGAGCTCTTCTTAGATTACAGAAGTGTGTAATAAATCTTTGGTCCATGGCCACATAAGAGGTTACCTGATACTATATAACCCAGGCTGAGCTTAAAGGGCAATTCCACTGATTTCTCAAAATGTCTGTGTAATTTAAACGAAATCATTCAGAGTAGTTTGATATGAAATGATTCATTGCCGAGGATCGTGCCAACTCAGACTTCTTTACAGTGGTGGTGATGGGAACCAGGGGTCGACGCAAAAGTTGCCATTTTATTTAGTATCCAAAGGAATAAGTGAATTTTCAAATATTCTTGTATATGAAGTTTATGATGGTCTGGGTAAATTTTCTTTGCCTCACAGAGCCCTGCATGGACCCCTCCACCATGAATAGCTTTTAAAAATGTACGTTTTAGACCAGATTATTACCTCATAACTTTAGTAAAACAGTGAGTGCGTTTATATGCACTGAATAATCCGATAACTGCAGAAAATCAACCCGATCAACATGTTTATGTGCTCTTGAGTAATCTGATTATGGGGAAACTCTGGGTTTACATGAGTCAGACAGTAATCAGATTTCTGCTTTAAAACTATGTGTAAACACACTCAGTCATCAGGCAGTGAATTCACAACCATTAGTAACTTTCTGTGAGGGAGCTTTTAGAGGTGGACGTCTGGTTCCTATCACCACCACTGTGAACAGCTCTGCCTGTTGAATGGAGCATTTCATATTATGCTGCTTCATCATTTATTATATATATATATATATATATATATATATATATATATATGTATCTATCTATCTATCTGTATATATATATATATATATATATATATATATAATAAATGATGAAGCAGCATAATATGAAATGCTCCATTCAACAGGCAGAGCTGTTCACAGTGGTGGTGATAGGAACCAGACGTCCACCTCTAAAAGCTCCCTCACAGAAAGTTACTACATGAAATGGTTGTGAATTCACTGACTGACGTCTGAGAGGTTAGTTTTATGGCAGTTCTGAGATGTTTTTGGCCAGGGTGTTGTGAGGCAAAATAGTCCGCAAAGAAAATGTATTAATTATGATTTTCCACTATTTTACCATCATCAACATTACATATAAAACTCAGAAGACACGTGTAGGTGATCAGCTGTCTTCCCAAGCTAGCTGTTTTTAGCAGCTGGCTAACTTAAAGCAGCTCCGTCACTCACACAGCACGGCGAATTGATGGTACTGTAGATCAAACAACACACAAAAGCACCGCTTTCAGTTTAAACAACACACAAAAGCACCGCTTTCAGTTTAAACTACACACAAAAGCATCGCTTTTAGTTTAAACAACACACAAAAGCACCGCTTTCAGTTTAAACCTACCTAAAAGGAGGACTGACTGATGTTAGATATATTGCAGTTTACACCGTAAACTACTATGGTAGAATAGAGAAACCCAGTCGTCTGCTAGCTGGTGTCTGAATACTGTGAGATGCTCTGACATGGATGTGGTGGGACTGATGGCAGTGAGGCGGTGTGATCCATCACTGATGTGCCGAGCCACTTAATATCTACTGTTCGTACTAAGTTGACGTTGTTGAGAAACTAAACAGTTTAGCACTGTTTTTGGCCACTTGTTTAGCATTTGTAACAGACAGATAAAATAATCTGTTTTCTTTCTTAAATTATGACTGTTACAAAAACTGCGGCTGTGCTTTTCCAGCTGGTAAAAACAGCTGACCAGACACTTTCTCCCACTGTCCCATGACAGTACTGTGAGATGTTCCACTGTTTGGTGAGTGTTTGCCGTGGTTTTACCTTAAAGGATAGTTTAAAACAGCAAATAACGGGTCAACGTCCATTTTTGTGTCCCTAGCGTTTACATATATTACATTTACAAAACATGTTAGGGTTACGATTTATTTATATTTTTTAAAAAAAAGCAATAAGTTATTTTAACAGTTACGCCTTTTTGAGCCTCAATTTAGCAATATTGGTTATTAAATCAATTATCTAGAACTCCAAGCACCACAGAAGAGCTCGTCCTCACAGTCATGTGTAAAGGCTGAGGCCATATTTTGAATAAAAAAACAAGTTTTTCTGCAATTTTAACTGCAATAATCTATAAATGACTATGGAATATATAAATTAAATGCCACAAAGAAAACAAATGGCAGATAAATATTATAAAATATTTAGATCAGTTATCAGAGATTTTCTCATTTAGCTCGAGATTTCATATGAAGCTTTTAGCTGAAGTCACTGGTGTGACCGACTTTATTCTGAAGAAAAAATAAAATACAAATGGATTAAATTACATATTTTAGAGGATATTTTCCATGATTGACAACATGTGGTTTGATGTTCTGTAGCAGCCATTCTGTAAAATGGGTTTTTCATTAAAAACTGTCTCTGGTGTTTCCTTTATTATGTGGAATGCCTGACAGAGATTTTGAATAAATATTCCTGTAAATCAGTAATCAAATGGATCAGATATTGTAATCAATAATTAAACAGCTAGTGCTGATTAACAAAGCATATTAATCCTCTCACAAAGGACAGGCCTTAGTTTGCCTGCATGAGGGATTCTGGACACTGGAAAGCCCCTGGAGTCACAGAAGCCTCCAGAGGCCTGTGAGCCTCTGCTGACACAGTAAAAAAAGAGGGCAAGCTGACCCTCAAAGAGCAGAGTAAGCTGATAAGAACCAGTTTTTGGAGTCAGTTCATAATGAAATGGCTAAATTAATAGCCTTGAGAGGATGGAACGGCTTGGTACAGCCAGGCTAGAATGGTTTTTAAAAAAATTGATATCATGTACGTTTGGAAATAAGGGTTTCCAAGAAAAGTGAGTTCGAATTTAATGGGGACTAAGATGATATCTTAAATGTTTGGACCCTGGGCAGAAGGGACAGCAGCTCTTGGTCATGACAGATCTATGAAATAAGCACATGGTAACTGTGTCTTTCAGTTATCAGAGATTTTCTCATGTAGCTCGTGATTTCATATGAAGCTTTTAGCTGAAGTCACTGGTGTGACCGACTTTATTCTGAGGTAATTGTGAAAAAATAGGATACAAATGGATTCAATTCCATATTTTAGTGGACATTCCATGATTGACGACATGTGGTTTGATGCTCTGTAGTAGTTATTCTGTAAAATGCATTTTTCATTAAAAATGTCTCTGGTGTTCCCTTTATTATGTGGAAAACCAATGAGGATCAGTAACACCTATGGACATTTCTGTAGAATGACCCAAACCATCAGAAGCAAAAATCAGCCTTTTGCCATTTATCGTGATGTGTATCGATGTTTCTCGTGATAACATTTCTGGCCATATCGCCCAGCTCTAGATACACTTTTGCGCTGGATTACTGACTTATTTTTAAATAATCTTTATCTTTGACAGTACTAACAAGTAGCGTTAATTAATCAAAAGAACACTAATCCTCACACAGTAAGACAGGCCTTAGCTTGTCTGGGAACCTGGACACCGGAGTGCCCCTTATCAAAGAGGCCTCCAGAAGTTTGTGAGATCCTGCAGATGCAGCTGTGTGAGAAAGAAGAGCTGTCCTTGAGTTGATAGAACCAGTCTCTGTAGTGAGTGGATTTTCAATGTGACCAGTCAAAGCCAGTGTCCTTGGGAGAGTGGAACATCCTGGGACGGCTAAGATAAGATATTTTTAAAAAACATATATCATGTATGTTTGGAAATAAGGGCTCTCAAGGGAAAGTGCAGGGTTTGGAGATGATGGGAACTAAGATGGTATAAAATACTATAAGAAGGAAGGAGTGATTGCTTCATCACCCCAAACAGCATATGAAAATGGGTGTTTTGTGATGATCTTTGCATTGTGGTTGTCCAGGAACCATCTTGCCACTCAAGCTTAATAAAGAAGAAGGCCTTTTCCTTCCTTCCACAGGAACTCAGCGGCTGAAGTCTCTTATTTTACTTTGCTCTTTTACACTTTGACACTTTTCTTACTTTGTTAGAAGTTATACTGCAGTTAGTTCTTAGGGTAATCACATTAGAACACGCCAGAGAACCCATCATATGTCCAGGGGGCCTTGGGCACAGAAGAGAGGCTTTAAGGCCCGACATTACATTGCGAGAAACTGAC